CGTTCACGACTCAAGTCCAAATTATGAACAGAAAAAAACATACAACTCTTCAGTGTTTTCAGGCTTACTAAATCAACCGAATCACGAAGATTGGCTTAAATTTTGAATACGACATCGTATGATCTCATTTCGAGTTGCAATGGGTTCCCTATGAAAAATACACAATTCTCGTTCACGACTCAAGTCCAAATTATAAATAGAAAAAAACATACAACTCTTCAGTGTTTTCAGGCTTACTAAATCAACCGAGTCACGAAGATTGGCTTAAATTTTGAATGCGACATCGTATGATCTCATTTCAGGTTGCAATGGGTTCCCTATGCAAAAATACACAATTCTCGTTCACGACTCAAGTCCAAATTATGAATAGAAAAAAACATACAACTCTTCAGTGTTTTCAGGCTTACTAAATCAACCGAGTTACGAAGATTGGCTTAAATTTTGAATACGACATCATATGATCTCATTTCGAGTTGCAATGGGTTCCCTATGCAAAAATACACAATTCTCGTTCACGACTCAAGTCCAAATTATGAATAGAAAAAAACATACAACTCTTCAGTGTTTTCAGGCTTACTAAATCAACCGAGTCACGAAGATTGGCTTAAATTTTGAATACGACATCGTATGATCTCATTTCGAGTTGCAATGGGTTCCCTATGAAAAATACACAATTCTCGTTCACGACTCAAGTCCAAATTATGAATAGAAAAAAACATACAACTCTTCAGTGTTTTCAGGCTTACTAAATCAACCGAGTCACGAAGATTGGCTTAAATTTTGAATGCGACATCGTATGATCTCATTTCGAATTGCAATGGGTTCCCTATGCAAAAATACACAATTCTCGTTCACGACTCAAGTCCAAATTATGAATAGAAAAAAACATACAACTCTTCAGTGTTTTCAGGCTTACTAAATCAACCGAGTTACGAAGATTGGCCTAAATTTTGAATTCGACATCATATGATCTCATTTCGAGTTGCAATGGGTTCCCTATGAAAAAATACACAATTCTCGTTCACGACTCAAGTCCAAATTATGAACAGAAAAAAACATACAACTCTTCAGTGTTTTCAGGCTTACTAAATCAACCGAGTCACGAAGATTGGCTTAAATTTTGAATTCGACATCGTATGATCTCATTTCGAGTTGCAATGGGTTCCCTATGAAAAATACACAATTCTCGTTCACGACTCAAGTCCAAATTATGAAAAAAAAAAACATACAACTCTTCAGTGTTTTCAGGCTTACTAAATCAACCGAGTCACGAAGATTGGCTTAAATTTTGAATGCGACATCGTATGATCTCATTTCGAATTGCAATGGGTTCCCTATGCAAAAATACACAATTCTCGTTCACGACTCAAGTCCAAATTATGAATAGAAAAAAACATACAACTCTTCAGTGTTTTCAGGCTTACTAAATCAACCGAGTTACGAAGATTGGCCTAAATTTTGAATACGACATCATATGATCTCATTTCGAGTTGCAATGGGTTCCCTATGCAAAAATACACAATTCTCGTTCACGACTCAAGTCCAAATTATGAATAGAAAAAAACATACAACTCTTCAGTGTTTTCAGGCTTACTAAATCAACCGAGTCACGAAGATTGGCTTAAATATTGAATACGACATCGTATGATCTCATTTCGAGTTGCAATGGGTTCCCTATGCAAAAATACACAATTCTCGTTCACGACTCAAGTCCAAATTATGAACAGAAAAAAACATACAACTCTTCAGTGTTTTCAGGCTTACTAAATCAACCGAATCACGAAGATTGGCTTAAATTTTGAATACGACATCGTATGATCTCATTTCGAGTTGCAATGGGTTCCCTATGAAAAATACACAATTCTCGTTCACGACTCAAGTCCAAATTATAAATAGAAAAAAACATACAACTCTTCAGTGTTTTCAGGCTTACTAAATCAACCGAGTCACGAAGATTGGCTTAAATTTTGAATGCGACATCGTATGATCTCATTTCAGGTTGCAATGGGTTCCCTATGCAAAAATACACAATTCTCGTTCACGACTCAAGTCCAAATTATGAATAGAAAAAAACATACAACTCTTCAGTGTTTTCAGGCTTACTAAATCAACCGAGTTACGAAGATTGCCTTAAATTTTGAATACGACATCATATGATCTCATTTCGAGTTGCAATGGGTTCCCTATGCAAAAATACACAATTCTCGTTCACGACTCAAGTCCAAATTATGAATAGAAAAAAACATACAACTCTTCAGTGTTTTCAGGCTTACTAAATCAACCGAGTCACGAAGATTGGCTTAAATTTTGAATACGACATCGTATGATCTCATTTCGAGTTGCAATGGGTTCCCTATGAAAAATACACAATTCTCGTTCACGACTCAAGTCCAAATTATGAATAGAAAAAAACATACAACTCTTCAGTGTTTTCAGGCTTACTAAATCAACCGAGTCACGAAGATTGGCTTAAATTTTGAATGCGACATCGTATGATCTCATTTCGAATTGCAATGGGTTCCCTATGCAAAAATACACAATTCTCGTTCACGACTCAAGTCCAAATTATGAATAGAAAAAAACATACAACTCTTCAGTGTTTTCAGGCTTACTAAATCAACCGAGTTACGAAGATTGGCCTAAATTTTGAATTCGACATCATATGATCTCATTTCGAGTTGCAATGGGTTCCCTATGAAAAAATACACAATTCTCGTTCACGACTCAAGTCCAAATTATGAACAGAAAAAAACATACAACTCTTCAGTGTTTTCAGGCTTACTAAATCAACCGAATCACGAAGATTGGCTTAAATTTTGAATACGACATCGTATGATCTCATTTCGAGTTGCAATGGGTTCCCTATGAAAAATACACAATTCTCGTTCACGACTCAAGTCCAAATTATGAATAGAAAAAAACATACAACTCTTCAGTGTTTTCAGGCTTACTAAATCAACCGAGTCATGAAGATTGGCTTAAATTTTGAATGCGACATCGTATGATCTCATTTCGAGTTGCAATGGGTTCCCTATGCAAAAATACACAATTCTCGTTCACGACTCAAGTCCAAATTATGAATAGAAAAAAACATACAACTCTCCAGTGTTTTCAGGCTTACTAAATCAACCGAGTCACGAAGATTGGCTTAAATTTTGAATACGACATCGTATGATCTCATTTCGAGTTGCAATGGGTTCCCTATGCAAAAATACACAATTCTCGTTCACGACTCAAGTCCAAATTATGAATAGAAAAAAACATACAACTCTTCAGTGTTTTCAGGCTTACTAAATCAACCGAGTCACGAAGATTGGCTTAAATTTTGAATGCGACATCGTATGATCTCATTTCGAGTTGCAATGGGTTCCCTATGCAAAAATACACAATTCTCGTTCACGACTCAAGTCCAAATTATGAATAGAAAAAAACATACAACTCTTCAGTGTTTTCAGGCTTACTAAATCAACCGAGTCACGAAGATTGGCTTAAATTTTGAATGCGACATCGTATGATCTCATTTCGAGTTGCAATGGGTTCCCTATGCAAAAATACACAATTCTCGTTCACGACTCAAGTCCAAATTATGAATAGAAAAAAACATACAACTCTTCAGTGTTTTCAGGCTTACTAAATCAACCGAGTCACGAAGATTGGCTTAAATTTTGAATACGACATCGTATGATCTCATTTCGAGTTGCAATGGGTTCCATATGAAAAATACACAATTCTCGTTCACGACTCAAGTCCAAATTATGAATAGAAAAAAACATACAACTCTTCAGTGTTTTCAGGCTTACTAAATCAACCGAGTCACGAAGATTGGCTTAAATTTTGAATTCGACATCGTATGATCTCATTTCGAGTTGCAATGGGTTCCCTATGAAAAATACACAATTCTCGTTCACGACTCAAGTCCAAATTATGAAAAAAAAAACATACAACTCTTCAGTGTTTTCAGGCTTACTAAATCAACCGAGTCACGAAGATTGGCTTAAATTTTGAATGCGACATCGTATGATCTCATTTCGAATTGCAATGGGTTCCCTATGCAAAAATACACAATTCTCGTTCACGACTCAAGTCCAAATTATGAATAGAAAAAAACATACAACTCTTCAGTGTTTTCAGGCTTACTAAATCAACCGAGTTACGAAGATTGGCCTAAATTTTGAATACGACATCATATGATCTCATTTCGAGTTGCAATGGGTTCCCTATGCAAAAATACACAATTCTCGTTCACGACTCAAGTCCAAATTATGAATAGAAAAAAACATACAACTCTTCAGTGTTTTCAGGCTTACTAAATCAACCGAGTCACGAAGATTGGCTTAAATATTGAATACGACATCGTATGATCTCATTTCGAGTTGCAATGGGTTCCCTATGCAAAAATACACAATTCTCGTTCACGAGTCAAGTCCAAATTATGAACAGAAAAAAACATACAACTCTTCAGTGTTTTCAGGCTTACTAAATCAACCGAATCACGAAGATTGGCTTAAATTTTGAATACGACATCGTATGATCTCATTTCGAGTTGCAATGGGTTCCCTATGAAAAATACACAATTCTCGTTCACGACTCAAGTCCAAATTATAAATAGAAAAAAACATACAACTCTTCAGTGTTTTCAGGCTTACTAAATCAACCGAGTCACGAAGATTGGCTTAAATTTTGAATGCGACATCGTATGATCTCATTTCAGGTTGCAATGGGTTCCCTATGCAAAAATACACAATTCTCGTTCACGACTCAAGTCCAAATTATGAATAGAAAAAAACATACAACTCTTCAGTGTTTTCAGGCTTACTAAATCAACCGAGTTACGAAGATTGGCTTAAATTTTGAATACGACATCATATGATCTCATTTCGAGTTGCAATGGGTTCCCTATGCAAAAATACACAATTCTCGTTCACGACTCAAGTCCAAATTATGAATAGAAAAAAACATACAACTCTTCAGTGTTTTCAGGCTTACTAAATCAACCGAGTCACGAAGATTGGCTTAAATTTTGAATACGACATCGTATGATCTCATTTCGAGTTGCAATGGGTTGCAATGGGAGGAGTTGAGAGCTGAACTCTCCTGGGAACGACCGGCGACCCAGTTTCTTCTTCCACGCTCAAGCAATCGATGGATCCCTTTGGTCCCAAAATTTTGCTTATTTACTGATTCGAAGTATCTTATCCTTCGTATTTCGTTTGGAAAGGTTTGTGCTCGAGAAAACGTAACCTAAATTGCGAACTGTACTGTTCAAGGGCGTTTTGTTCTGCGTCCAATTGTGCAAGTCGCAGGTTACCTGGGTTTGTGTACTGAATCTCTTTTAGGGATATTTGATTTCTGAGTTGGAGTCGGTATTAGAGTTGGACAGGTCCAGTAGAGAACCTGGTTTGGAGCTGGGGAATCTGCTGTAGCCTGATAAACCCAGGTCTGGGCGATGCTGTGGGTACCTGCAATGGGTCGCACGAAGCAAGGGGGTGGGGATGCCTCCAAAACACGATCTACCAGGTCAAAATTTGCTGCTTTAGAGGATAGGGATGAAGAATTTCCTGTTTTGAATTCTGGAAATGTGCTGCCACTAATGAAGAATAGGGAACCTGTTAGAATTGCTAAACAACTGAACAAAGGGATTTCTGGAATTGCTGCTAACAGTGTTGAACCAACACAGAATGTGCAACCTGCTGCTTCTGCAGGTCTTGGGCTGGATACTGCTGCAAAAACTCCTCCAGCAACTAAGCAGCTTCTCCCACGGCCAGACTCTGGTAAGAAGGCTTCTGGGAGTGTTGTAGCCATTGACTTACCTCTTTCTGGGACATTGGTTCCGGTGCCACAGGCAGACACTGAAGCCAAAACATGGAAGGCCTTGTTTAAGGATAACCGGGACCCTAAACATGGCTTTAAACTAAGATATATCCCCCCAAAAGGTGAGACATTGGACTTTGGTGACCGGGTATTACCCACTATGGTTGATATGTGGGGTTACTGTCTAGTTGGACACTTTACGGGAAGCTTTCCTGGGCTCAAAGCGGTCCATGATCTTAAAGCTACATGGGGAGTTAAATGCCTTGTGAGATCTCACAAGAAAGGTTGGTTAATATTTAAATTTCAAAGTGATGAGGATAGATCGAAAGTACTACGTGAGGGACCTTACACTGTATTTGGGAAACTCCTAATGCTCAAGGAACTTTCGGAAAATTTTTCATTTGAGGATGAGGAATTTCTAAAAGTACCAATTTGGGTTAAGTTCCATGATTTACCAATGCAATTATGGAATGATGAGGCAATGAGTGAGGTGGCATCCATGGTTGGGGTCCCGATAACTACGGATAAGATCACCAAAGAGAGGATTAACAATGACTATGCTAGAGTGCTGATTGAAGTTGATGCCTCAAAGCCACCGCCATTATCTTTTCCTATACGACTACCTTCCCATAAGGTATTCAAACAAAGCGTGGTCTATGAAACCTTTCCTAGTTATTGTTTTCATTGCAAAGATTTTGGGCATCACCCATTTAGTTGTAATAAATTAGCTAATCGGGATGATGAGGGGAATAATGGAAAGGGAAAACAGGTTGTTCATTGCATTGAAAACACTGAAAAAATTGGGAAGCCTACAGTGAGCTCTGTTCTGCCAGCACTGCCTGCCCAGCTGCTTAACCCGACCGGGTGCCCTATTGGCCCGACCGGGTCCCAGATGATGAATGCCCAGCAGAAGCCTGCCAATTTGATCGGGTCTCAGTTAAACCCGACCGGGTCTAAACCTAACCCGACTGGGCTGCTGCGGCAGACTGCTTCTGGTGCTACTACAGGGGATGCGCCACACGTTCAAGGGTCTTCCGACTCTAATGAGGATTCCGAGGCCAGTTTGGAAGAAACGGAGAGGTTAGTTATGAATGAGAAGGAGATGAATCAATACGATGTTGTCGTCAAATGTGAGGTAATAAATGGTAAGACACTCAAGTTGTTTGTCAAACCATTTAGATTTGTGCAAGCTAGCGTGATTAGAGTGGATACTTCTCTACGACTTACGGATGATTTGGATCGAAAAGGTCTAACTTTCACCGCCAAATGTTTTGAGGGTCTACCGGGAGTTACTAAAAAGAAAGGGGAGGTTTGCTTTGACTCAAAGTTCACTACTCCTTTCCGATCTTTCTTTGGATGTTAAATTAGGGATACCTAATTTTTGTTGACGTAGTGTTGTTTGACTGTTTTGGGTGAATTTATGAAATTGTGAGTCTTGATTTTGTGATATCCCGTGTATTGGGATATGCACTTTGATTGTACACATGATTTATTTGTGAGGTGGGGTCTGTCCCATTATTTTGGTGCATTATATCTAGGTTAGTTTATTCTAGCTTAGATAGTCTTCTTGATTTGGATTTGATGCATTGTAAAATGCTATTTTTTTCGATCTCTAATATACTTACATGTTATCGTCGAGTTGCAATGGGTTCCCTATGAAAAATACACAATTCTCGTTCACGACTCAAGTCCAAATTATGAATAGAAAAAAACATACAACTCTTCAGTGTTTTCAGGCTTACTAAATCAACCGAGTCACGAAGATTGGCTTAAATTTTGAATACGACATCGTATGATCTCATTTCGAGTTGCAATGGGTTGGGTTGAGTTGCATTGGGTTAGAAGTTGAGAGCTGTTTCTCTCCCTCATCGCGAGGCTCTTCTACGTCAAAACTCGAACCATCAAATTTCATCGTTAAATCCTTCCTTTGAGCTTGGATATTGGTTAATCTTCCTCCTAATCTTCTTTGGGGTGTAGATTCTTCAATTTTTTTGCTCATTTGTGGGAGTTTTGGACTGTTTTTCTTCCCAACTTACTCGGAAATACTGTTCATACGTAGAGGTCAACGCTCTTTTCTCTCAGCCTGCTTGATCAGTTCCTATTCGGAGGGTGATTCCAGCTTCTCTTGGGTGTAAGGATTGAGCAAATACAATTTTTCAATCATCCTGTAAGGTTGATTTTTGGGTCATCTTCTCCAACGGTCCTTTCTACTTTTGGAAAGCCATAGCCGAATTAGGGAACTATGGTCACTTAGGTGGTAACTGCTATCTCTTAGCTCCCACCCCCCCCCCTTTCGCTACTACTATGGCTACCAAAAAGAAGAAGGAGGCACTACCCACCAAATCCTCCTCTCGGCTCAGGGCAAAACAGAACAGAGATATCGATGAAGTATGTGAAGCTATGGGTCCTGGAAAAAGTGACTTGGAACAACTTGTGAAGGATGATATCCAAACCTTGGCTGAAGATGCTAACTCTGCTATTCGGTTGGAACCTATACTTGAGGACTCTCGAGAAAATAGTTCTCAATCCTTGGAGACAAACTGTGAGGCAACTCATGCCAACAATGATGAAGGGTTGGAGGCTAACAGTTCTTCCCAAACTGTGGTGGCTGCTGGTACTCGCATTTGTGATGCCTCGGACACCAATGTTGACAAAACTGAAGGTATTTTCGTTGTTCCTGAGGAAATCTCCCTTGATAATGTGGTGCTTGAAGAAACGGAGTATGAGCTGGACCCAACTGTTAAAGAAATTCTGGATAAAGAGGATGCCATTGCTAAACAAATTGCGGCAACCAGTGCCATTCAGGCCGCGGCATCACAATCTCAGGCCGTGGTATTATCCTCTCAGTCCGCGGCAAATATCCAAGACATGGCAGTACCCTCTCAGCCTGCAACATTGCTCATCCAAGCCGCGACACAACTCGAGACATCAACTGCCAATAAGGCTGCAGCACAAGAAGGAAATAAATGGGGACAACCGGGCTCTAAACCCTCTTTTGTCTCACTTTTCAAAGACAATAGAGAACCAAACAAGGGGATGAAACTTAGGTATATTGAACCTAAAGGTGACATTATTGACCTTACTACCCGGGCGCTACCATCCATGATTGCTATTTGGGGTCATTGTCTAGTTGGTTACTTTGATAATGGCTACCCCGGTTACAAAAATTTGCAAACACTTGTGCAAAAGTGGGCTGTCCCAACTCGGTTTAGGAGCCATGATAAAGGGTGGGTTATATTCAAGTTCCAAAATGAGAAAGATAGAGCTAAAGTGCTCATGGAAGGGCCCTATACTTTATTTGGCAAGACATTTCCTTTGAAATTACTTTCGGATGATTTCTCTATGAATGATGATGAATTCCTTAAAGTGCCTATTTGGGTACAATTCCCACATCTTCCCATGAGAATTTGGGAGGAAGACATCATTAGTGAGGTGGCATCAAAAGTTGGCATACCTTTAACTACGGATAAAGTTACACTTGAGAAAGCTAGATCTAACTTTGCAAGAGTTCTAATTGAAGTTGATGCTTCCAAACCGCCCCCACTTGAATTCAAAATCAAGTTACCAAATGGCAAGCTACACACACAATATGTGAGGTATGAGACCTTTCCAAATTATTGCTTTAATTGCAAAGAGTTTGGGCATCATGCCTTTACATGTCCTATTATTGCCGAGATTGAAAGGAAAGAAAAGGAAGAAGCTTTAAGGAAGGGTAAAGGCATTATGGTGCAAGATGGGGAGACCGAACGGGCTGCCAAAACAGTGACCGAAAAGGGAGAAGAGGATGGCGAGAGGGCTGCCAAAACAGTGAATGAAAAGGGGGAAATTGAGGAAGATAGTGATCTTTTTGTCACTAAAAGAGATCATCCATTTTTCAAGAGGTTCCGGTTCTTTAAATGGGGCAAGAAAAAGCCTATAAGAGGCGAGGGTGGCACATCCGATTTCAAGGATGGTGAAGACGTGCTTATCCGTAAAGTACAAAAATTTCATGATACATACCAAGATGAGGTGATAGTCCAAATGGAAACCGATGAGGTGCTCATGCCAAATATCAATGTTACACACAAGAAGCATGTAGATAAGGATGCTACTATTGTCAAGATGGACCATCATCTCAAGATAGTAAAGGAAGACCAACCCGGAATGCTTTTCACCAAAGAATGCCTTGAAGATAGTCCCGGAATAACAATAAGAGACAAGGAGTATACTTTTGATCCTTCTTTTATGAGGGCTGTTTTTAGACATTATTTGTGCCGATATTATGAAGATGGCTGCCCGAGGGGGAAAGCTTCGCTTGTTAAAAGGCCAAGTATGAAAGATTTCAACAAAGTACGTGTGGTGAATGATATTAGGGATGCATACCGAGATGATGTCATTGTTAAGCTTGAACTTGGCAAAGATAATCTACCTTTGATTCACCTACTACATTCCGGTGAAGTTAAAGATCAAATGGTGCGGCTTGATAACTACTTGAGAGTCACCCAAGATGAGCTTACCGAGGGACTCACATTCACGACTAAATGCTTGGAGGCTATCCCGGGGGTCTTTGATACGGAATATGGGTATGAATTTAACTCTTGGTTTATTGAATATCCATATACTTTGTTATATCTTACTAGGTATAAAGCAAGAGCAAAGCCGAGCCCTATTGTTGAAAAAAATGAGGTGAGGCCGAGACACCAAGGAAGGAAAGGAGGGAGGAGGAACAACAACAAAAGGTCTTGATGATTGTGTCCGCATGGAATATAAGAGGCCTCAATAAGGTCTCCAAACAAAACTCTATCCTTAAGTTTATTCGCACTAATAATATTCATTTGTTTTGTCTTCTTGAAACCAAAATGACCACTACTAATTTTGTTAATTTTAGTTCAAATAGATTACCATCTTGGCTATCTATAACTAATTTCGACAAAATTGATGGTGGCCGTATTGGCATAATTTGGGACCCCCATTTTCTTCAAGTTAATGTGCTTGAAATTGACAAACAACATATTCATTGTCATGCCACTTGTAAAACTACTCAAATTGAATTTTTTGTTACTTTTGTGTACGCTCTCTACACGGTGCTTGAAAGACAAACACTTTGGGATCACTTAACACACTTGGAGCCTAACATTACTAGCCCGTGGCTAGTTATGGGAGACTTTAATTGTGTTGGGAGCCCAAATGAGAGGGTGGGTCCTTCCCCTCCCTCGGCTTATGATATGCAACACCTTAATGACTTTAAATTGCTAACTCATCTTATTGATTGTCCATCCACGGGCCAATTCCTTACTTGGAATAGAGGTTCGCTTTGGGCTAAACTAGATAGAGTTCTCATTAATTCTTTTTGGGCCACTATGGCCATTGAGTGCAAAACCCACTTTCATGACATGGAACTAGAATCCGATCATGTAGCTTCCGTGGTTTCCATTGGGCAAACTAACGGGGCTGCCTCTCGGCCTTTTAAATTTTTTAATATGTGGCTAAACCATGAAAATTTTAATGATATCCTCACTAATCATTGGGATAGAGAGGTATATGGTAGCTCCCAATTCATACTAGCTAAAAAATTGAAAGACCTCAAAAGACCACTTAGAGAGCTTAACAAACTCCATTTTGGCCACATCTCCGAAAGAGTTAAGGATTCCAAGAAAGAGTATAAAAGGCTCCTTGGGCTCTCTATACTCTCTCCGTTGGATGAAACTATAAAAGAAGAACTCTCCTTGATCAAGAAAAAACTTCTTAACCTTAAAGTAGCCGAAGAAGATTTTTTTAAGCAAAAGGCCAAGGCAAATCATCTTGTTCAAAGTGATAAATGTACTAAATATTTCCATGCTATTGTGAAAAAGAATATGGCTAAAAATTCCATTACGGCTTTAAAACTCCAAAATGGGATTTCTACCACTTCTATTGACCAAGTTGCTACGGAATTAGTGAATTTTTATACTAATTTGTTTGGTGCCTACTACCCCACTTCCGGGTTGGACCCCTCTGTGGTGGCCTCGGGTAGGTGTTTACCCGCCAATGCCACTCCTGGCTTGGTTGCTCCTATCACCGATTTGGAAATCAAAGAGGCCTTGTTTGATATTGGTGATAACAAATCACCGGGGCCGGACGGTTACACATCCGCGTTTTTTAAAAAAAATTGGAACACTGTTGGTTTTGACTTTACTAGAGCCGTGAGGGGCTTCTTTGGCTCTGGCAGGTTATTAAAGCAAACTAACCATACGGTTATTGCTTTAATTCCTAAGACCAATCACTCTCCCACACCGGCGGACTTTAGACCAATTGCTTGTACTAATGTGGTCTACAAAGTCATTACCAAAATTATTTCTAAGAGGATGATCCCGTGTCTACCGGACATCATTGACCACGCCCAAGGGGCGTTTGTTGATGGAAGACTTATGATTGATAATGTCTTCGTTGCACAAGAATTGATCAAGGGATACTCTAGGAAACGTGCATCTCCTAGATGTATGATAAAGGTTGATCTCCGGAAAGCCTATGATACTATATCCTGGGATTTCCTGGCTGCCATGTTAACCCATTTGGGCTTCCCGGACAGATTTATACATTGGATTATGGAGTGTGTCACCACACCTTCCTATTCCATATCTATTAATGGGGTGCTCCACGGCCACTTTGAGGGTAAGA